CTGAAAGCCCCTAATGAGAGAACTCCTTACCTATCTCCATCAGGGGAACCACTGGGGACCCCAAACCATGTGTGATGCAGTTTTGAGAGCCTATGGGTGTACAGAGATCTATACACTAGCCAAAAAAGTATCAGAAAGATGTCTTACTTGTTGAAAGATTAACAGGCAAGCTCTGAAACAGAGACCAGCTGGGAGTAGAAATGCTAGGTTGCGATCCTTCCAAAGCAATCATGTAGATTACACTGAGATGCCCAAAATAGGTCACCTTAAATACCTCTTTGTTATTGTAGACCATCTCACTCACTGGGTTGAAGCCATCCCTCTCCCAGGGGCCACTTCTACAAATGTAATTAGTGTATTACTAGAAAACATAATACCAAGGTTTGGGGTTATAGAAAATGTAGACTCAGATAATGGAAGTCATTTCACCACCAACGTCCTTAAGGGACTTATGAAGGCTCTAGAAATCAAATGGGAATATCATACTCCCCAGCATCCACCTTCCTCAGGGAGAGCTGAAAGAATGAATCAGACTCTTAAAAAACAACTCACTAAATTAGTCTTAGAGACCAGATTGCCTTGAACTAAATGTCTTCCCATAGTGCTATTCAGAATTAGAATGACCACTTGGAAGGACATTGGCCTTTCCTCCTATGAAATGCTTTATGGGCTTCCTTACCTTAGCTCTGTTACTGATGTACTGTCCTTTGGAACCAAAGACTATTTCCTCAAAAATTATATACTTGGATTGTCCTCTACTTTATTGTGTCTTAGGGAAAAGGGATTGTTAACACAAGCTCCTCCACTTGACTTTCTTGTTCACCCACACCAGCTTGGGGATCATATGCTAGTCAATACCTGGAAAGAAAATAAGCTTGAGCCAGCTTGGAAAGGACCCTTTCTGGTCCTGCTAACCATGGAGACAGCTGTCTGGTCCAAGGAGCGGGGATGGACTCATCACAAATGAGTAAATAAGGCATCCCCACGTAACCAGAAGGAACAATGAGCTGTGCTCTCACATCCAGGCAACACCAAAGTGACTTTAAAAAGACTATAGTGAAAATATTCTTTCTTTTTTATTTGGGAAATGGTATGCTTATTATTAATGTAACTCAGTGTACCTTTCCCTTAATTGTTGAATTTGATGCTGTCAGGTCCTTCCTTGCAGAAACCTTACATCCCAACTTCAACTCCAACGATACTCCCTTTATATGTGTCCCATCGTGGGACCCACAGGGAAGCCTGGTATCTGTCCAGAGTGGACAGAAGTAGGGTGGAACAATGGATATAAAGGATACACTTCCCCCTTTTTATGAAAATCCTAAGAGCTGGAGTGGACCCCAGGACACTGGAAAGACTCTGATTTCCAAAATCCAAAATAATCAAGAGTCTTTTAACAGACTACAATCAAAATTACAGCTGTTTCAGACATACCCCTCTCCTACTTGTAAAGATAAACAATGTAACCCACTTAGATCAGTCATGGAAAATCCTTGGAGTATGACACAAGAACCATCTATATTTTGTAGATATGGGTTGGGGGCAGATGTGTGAGGAACAGACCCATTAGGTGCCTTTGAGCTCCATCTAACTCCCAACCCCTCCCAGGTGACACCCAGTTCTACCTCCACTCCAACATTACCTCCACGTTTATACAACAATCAAACTCAGGTAACCATAGTAGAAGTCAAGGATCTAAGACACTGTGGCTATTGACAACAGGTACAGAGACACAAACACTTGGATGAAATGGATAAAATATTATGTCATCACATTAAATAAGAGTGATGCTATGTTTGTACTATTGGGAGACCAGTGTCTCAGGTTGTCTCAAATCCAGATGGAATGTATTGCATGTTGGCTCTGTTTCAGGATGCCAAGGATTATGGCAATGGATCCTGCCAGCACTATCACTATTGTTCCAGAGATCAGAGGTCCTGTGGGTCAGCCCCCAAGGACTATTAGGCCACCTACCCTAGACATCAATTATACCCCATGTCTCACGAGATAGAGGGAACAATTGACAAATGTGGTAAACTTGATGGGATGCAGTGAAAGCCAATCCTTCAACAGCCTTACAAACCAGTCCATACTCTTGGTGGGCAGAGTTGATGCCTAGTGGTACTGGGGAGGACTTTTACTTGAGACTTTCCCAGGTAACTGGGCATCTGTGCTTTGTTGCAGTTGGCAATCCCTTTCACCCTAGCATTTAGATCTCCAGACCATGCCACAACATCTAGAAAAAGGAGAGACACTGTAGCCAACTTCAGAGGCTTCTTTAATCCCCATGTTTACATTGATGCTATTGGGGTTCCTAAGGGAGTGCTAAATGAATTCAAAGCCAGGAACCAAATTGTAGCAGAGTTTGAGTCAGTACTCTTTTGGTGATCCACTATAAATAAAAATGTTGATTGGATTAATTATATTTACTATAACCAATAAAGGTTTATTAACTATACCAGGGATGCTATCAAAGGAATAGCAGAGCAATTGGGACCAACTAGCCAGATGGCTTGGGAGAACAGGTTAGCATTAGACATGATGTTGACTGAAAAGGGAGGAGTTTGTATAATGATTGGAGTTTGGTGTTGCATGTATCTACCAAATAATACAGCCTCTGATAAAACTATTAATAAGACCCTACAGGGATTAACTACCAATCTAATGAGCTAGCTGAAAATTCAGGTATAAATGAATTTACCCTTCACTGACTTAATGGAAAAATGGTTTGGAAGATGGGAGGACTGCATGACCTCAGTCTTAACCTCCTTTTATACTGATTGGTGTTTTAATTTTAGTAGGATGTTGCATAATTCCTTGTGTCTGAGGACTAATTGAGACAGCCCTCACCAAACAACCAACCCAGCCCTACCAAAATAACTTGTTTCTATTAGAAGAGCAGGAACACAAGAGCCAAAAATTCCTAAATGAGTTTGAAGAAAAGAATTTAAATTTTACAAAGGGGGGAAATTGTAAGAAAAATTATCATTCCTATCAAAGTATTTGTTACCCTCTCAGATTACTTAAAAATTCCTCAGGTCACCATCTTAAGTGACTTGCATGTTTAAAGGGTCCTTGTGTCTTCTTCCAGATTCCCGTACAACTCCATTGCCTACCAAACGATATGTCCTAGCCCATCCCCTAAGCCTTTTAGCCAATCGAGGGAGATTGTGATCCTTTGACCTGGACAAATCCCAGGTAAGGGGCAGGTACAACTGCATCAGGGATATAAGGAGGAGCCACTGTCAGCCATTTTGTGTTAGTGTGTTTGCTTAGCAGGAGCGAGCACATGTTTGCACCCTCTTATCAAGAGAAATTGCCTTGTCAAGATTTTCTGTCTCTTGTGTGTCTTTTTTGGGCACTGGAGGGTCTTTAATTCCAACACTTTCTACTCCCCCTTTCTCACTTTCTTATCAAGTTTTATCTGGGTTTCATTATGACCATTTCATACACATATACAATGTATTTTGATCATATCCTTTCTCTCTTCTCTTTTCCTTCTCCCACCTTCCACTGGTTACCTATCCCCAAAGCAGTACTCCTTGTCCACATCTTTTTTTCCCTCTTACGCTGAGATTTCACATACGAGAGAAAATGTATGGCATTTGTCTTTCTGAATCTGACTTTTTTCACTTAATTTTGTATTATCAAGTTCCATTCAATTTCCTGCAAATAAAAATATTCTTCATTATGGCAGAAAAATACTTCATCATGTATATATATATACTACATTACTTCACCCATTCATTTTTGATGGCACCTAGGCTGATTACATACTTAGATTTTGTGACTAGTACTGCAATAACATGGTGTGTGGTAATTTAGTTGTAGTGTTCATATATCTTTAAATAAAAAAATTAACACAGATACAGTAAGACACAACACTAATAAACTCCTGTTTCAGATAAATTGGTTAAGAATGAAAAAGAACTTAAGTTGGGGCTTAAATCTACACCATATTGGAAAAACAAATCATTCATATTAAGTAAATTTAAATATGACACATAAAAATATAACATTAAAATTATTTGATTTTGAGTGAAAAGGCATATGTAATAAAAACTTTAAAATAATAATTAAATTTAAATATAAATTTTACACTGCTCCATGCCAAATTATTTAGATATTAAAAGAAAATAGAGACAAGATAACATTCATATTAATAATGGCAAGTTTCAAATTTGTTGTGCTTTAATACTTACCACATGCTTTCATCTCTGTTCAAGAATGGCTGTTTTCAAGGCTCTGAAATTATGATTTTGACAATTCCACATAGACTAGATGTATTTGAATGAATATGATTAATAAAAATCCTGGAGCTATACTGGTGTTTTGTACTTAAATTTTCTCATTTTAAAAATGGTGTTTAAAAACAAACTATTGTATATTTTGTGTGGTCTTTATGTATCATATTTTATTATTATATAATTTAATACTTTATGTTGATGATAATGCATTAGTAAAGGATAGCAAAATATTATTGTCACCATTTTTGTGTGAAGATTTGCCTCTTGTATATAAAATACCATGGGTCTTCTTTACAGAGGCATGGTATTTCCAATGATGAGAGTCCCTGGATACCTGAGAAATGTTAAGTTTTCCATTCAAAAGAGGACTATGTAACCATTACATTTTGCCACCATCATGATGCATTTCAACTCGAGAAAAAGATAAGGAAAACACACAAAGGTATTGTTGCATATAATAACTATATAGTAACAATTCTTAATGTTTACTTCTTGAGGAAAATAAAATTGAAATAAAATTAACATTATTATAACAGCAAATAGGCTGTCATAAACACCAGCAAATAAAATAAAGATGTGTGTGCATACATTATTAGAATTATTTCATAAACTTAGAAAATCATAAATGGTGTCACATAAAAATATTTTTCTTATACTCTGATTTTACAAGAACAGAATAAGTAGAACACTCAGAAAATAAACTTTATCCACTATATAATGGTTTCATGAATATCACTGTGGAGACCACTTTCCTCATATTCTCTTCACAGCATCTTTCACATCTCTGTTTCTCAGACTGTATATTAGAGGGTTCAGCATTGGTATTATAAGAATGTAGAACACAGTTATAATCTTGCTTTGCTCTGGTGAGGAGATGGCCCCAGGTTGGGCATACATGAAGAACAAAGTTCCATAGAATAAACTCACCACCGATATATGGGAGCCACAGGTAGAGAAAGTCTTTGACCTGCCTTGAGTAGAAGGGATCTTTAGGACAGTGGAGAGGATACATACATAAGAAACCAGAATGACAGTGGTGGTGGTGATGATGATGAAAGCAGAGAGAATAAAGAGCACAAACTCATTCACAAAAGTGTCAACACAGGAGATCTTGAGCAGGGCTGGGACATCACAGAAAAAGTGGTCCAGTCTGTTTTCTCCACAGAAACGCAAATTGAAGGTGAAACATGCTTGCACTATGGAGTTGATGCATCCACCGACATAGGATCCAGCTACCAACTGAGCACAAACTTTGTGGGATATCTGCACAGGGTAAAGGAGAGGGGAGCAAATGGCTGAGAGCCAATCAAATGCCATCACAGACAGAAGAAAGCCTTCAATTGTGACAAACAAGACAAAGAAGAAAAATTGGACTGCACAACCATTGTATGAAATTTTCTTTTCAGTACTCAAGAAGTTGGCTAACATATTTGGAGCAATGACTGTGGAATAGCAGAGATCTAAATAGGACAAGTTTCTAAGGAAGAAATACATAGGTGTTTGCAGTCTGGAGTCCATCTTAATGACAGTTATCATACTGACATTCTCCAGTACAGTCACTGTGTAGATGATCAAGAACATTAAGAACAAGAGGATCTGTAGCTTTGGAGAGGTTCTAAACCCCAGCAGAATGAACTCAGTCACCTCTGAGTAATTCCTATTCAGCTCTCTCCTCATAGCTGATGCATACATAGAACTGGAGGGATGGGGAAAATGAAACAAGAAGTGATTAGAATACTTGTTTCAGTGAAAACACCTGGTGAATCAACATGAAAGAAAATTCATCACATTGATCCAATATTTTATAAAACACTAGTGAACATAATGAATGTGTTACTTTTTAAAAATTCTTCCTAGTGATAAGCTCAATATGATTGCTGAGCCTTTTCAGTTACACTCTCCTGCAAGTAATGCAGATTGACACTCTTAAGTGAGCTTTTGGGAAATGGAGATTCCAGGAAAATATCTGGAATCAGGATATTTAAAAAATTTTTATATATACTATGGTCAGTTTATTGACATTTAAATTTTCTGTAATCCTAGCTACTCAAGATCATATGTTTCATTCTAGCTTAGGCAAATAGTCTGGGAGACCACATTTCAATGTGCCTGTTATCCCCTATAGCAGGGAAGCACAACCAGGAGGAATGTAGGTCAAAGACAACCTGGGCAAGAACCTACATAAAAAATAACAAGCCCAAAAAGGACTGGCAGAGTGCCTGCCTAGCAAGCATGAGTCCCTGAGTCCAAAACCCATTTTCAAACTCCTCCCAAAAAAGTTTCTTTCCCTGATGAAAGACATGTCACAAAAACCTTATTATCTATGCCAGAAGATACAATCTACTGGAGCTATAATATTACATACCTCAGAATTTTGAAATAAAAATCAAGTTCACTTGATAGTCCTATTTTATTTTTAGTGATTATTTACTTTTTTCAATTACCACAGAAAAATAATATAAAAACTATACTTGTTTTCTTATATGAGAAATAGGCCTTTAGAACCTGACAAAACCTTCATCCTTTTACATATCAGCATCATTTCATTATTTCTTCCATTAGTTTTATCCCTATAACAATATAAATTCTTGCCAGCTAAATTGATCTGCTAAAAACAGTCAAGTTTTAGTTTATATTTCCTAACCACAAGGAAATAAGACTTTCATTTTCCTTCCTTTCTGTCCTCCCTGCCTCCCTCTCTCCCCTACTTCCTGCTATTTTTCTTTCTTTCCTCCCTACTCCATCCTTCCACAATTTTTTAATGCAAATGGAGATATCTAAAATCTTGGGCAGAGAGATTTCTTTAAAAAGAAACCTAATAAAAAACACAAGATAAATGCATATGGAAAATTCAAGGTACAGAGGATAATGTAAAGATAGCGAAGAATGAAAAATAAAAGTAAGACATATGTTTTTAAACAAGCTTTAATTGTATTCATTTTAGCATACTTATTATGACTATGAAATATTCTTAAGTGAAGTACACTGGAGTTATAGGGAATGAAAGAAATTTTTATTCTAATTTTATGATTTAAGAAACTAAATCATTAAAACCAGGTTTAAGACATTTATTTAGAATAATGAGATTGAACAGCACACAGGTTCAATAACCTAACATAAAACATAAAAGAAACCTTATAATCAAAAAAATCAATTATTTATATACTGTGGAAATATATTTTCTAATGTTATAAATTTATAATTACATATGTTTATATGATTATACTTGCATAATTATAGTAAATGCATTAAACTCTGAATTTATGTATCAATTTCTCATAATTTTTATTGTTTCATTAATATTTCCATGCTAAAGCAGGTTGGAAGTTGGAATTATTCTAGAATCAGGCTAATATAGGCACAGTAGTCAATTGTTAAAATCAAATATAAACAGAAATATTGACTGATTGATAAGACAAGAATGATCAAACCACTTCTAAAAGGGCCTATTAATGAAAAACTTCATGTAGTCTTTAAATTCATATTTTACATTACCAAATTCCTAGTTTCAACAGAAATATTGAAACAAATTTAAGAAATATTACAAAGGCAATCTCAAAAAATGTGGTGTGGAAATAAAAATCTGAAATATAAATTACTCTCAGGAATGATTATTATTTCTTATCTTGATAAAACTATAAAACATTCTAATTCAAGTTCATTCAAGAAAAAACAAAACTATGAAAAGAAAGAAACAAACTTTTTTTATTTGGAGGTTTTTCCACAACACAGATATCATTTCCTCACTGCTCATATCATGACTCAAATTTGCTAACATGAACAAATAGCAGCAGAATTATAGCTCATCTGTTAACATGTTTACTCTACTTTGGTTTACTGAAGTATTTCTTTGATTTAACTAACAAACAGACCTGGGATGAATCCCGAGAGAAATTCTCTCATCGGGAGGAAAACCAAACATGTGGGCACTGAGGATTAAAAGGTCTTGTTCATTGGTAAGATATTTTGTGTCATAATGCAAAAAAAGAAAAAAAGGACAGAAAAAATATTAATTGGTAAATATATCAAGCCTTTGGAATGTTAAATGGGCACTCTGGAGGACAAACGAGGAGGATAAAAGAAGGAAATTAACAAGGTTGATATGGTTGATGTACTTCCTATACAAGAATGAATATAGAATTTTTAAACCTATTGAAATCACCACACAAAGGGGACTAAGGTACAAAGGAGAAAATGAAGAAAATGAACCAATTCCAGTTATGATACATATATCCATGGATATGTCACAAGGAAAGTCCAGGTGCAACTATCTTAAACAGACTACAATGTCTCTTTTTTTTTTTTTAATAGAAATGGAGAAGGGCAGAACAGGTCCTGTCTGGGGATTTGGTACTAGTGAGGTGGGGAGACTGTGGGGAGAAGGTGTAGGAGGGTGGATATAGTGCATATGTTATGTACACATGTATGTAAATGGAAAAATGAGACCTATTGAAACTGTTCCAGAAATAGGGGAGGGGAGATAAAGGAGAATGACAGAGGTGATGAATTCAACTATGATGTATTGTAGAGAACTTTTGTAAATGTAAAATGTGCCCCAGCACAACAATAATAATATAAAAAATACCCTCTTGGATAAATACCTAATTATTTTGTATTCCTGATTTACATAGAGCACTGTTCAATAATTTCATTTGAATGGATTATAGTTCTTATTTTTAGGGACAAATTTTTTACTCTTCTTTAAATGCTCTGTGCTGATACTAATCAGAGAAAAATTAAAACAGAAAATAAGTAACCATCAATGGTAACATTAAAGTAAAAATTGGCACAAACTGAAGTAGGCCAGAGAATAGCAAGAGTGAACAGCCATACTAACATCACTGAATTAGGATACAGGAAGAAGTGGTGTTAAAAAGTCTTGACACCTGGGAGTTTCTTCAAAAATGAGAATCAGAGGAGTTTGCCCACAAGGTTCCAGAACCAAAAAAACTCACAAGGAGAAGATTAAAAATGAAAGAAGTACCCTGTCTTCTAGCACCCCAGCTCTCACAATTTGTGTCTTTTGTAATACAAAAGCAGTCATAGAAAATTCAAAACAAGTGCATGGGCTATGGTTTGTTGACCTCTACTCTAAAACAAGCAAAGATTCTGCTAATAGCATTTGAGGAAAGAAGCGATCTTTTTAAAAAATTTCAAGGCTTTTCATAATCACTGAATTTTGCCTTTTTTGTATTGACTCTGTACTACTAAGGGAATAAGTTTAATTTATCCTGTGTAGATGACATGTTAAAACACTGCAAAATATGTTAGTAATAAAATCCGTAAAGAAGATTGAATGTTACCAAACATTTTACTACAAACAAGTACTGAGTTGCAATGGAATAAACACAGAGCCAGAAGACTGGAAGTTCTAAATAAATATGATTAACTATTCTAAAGATCTAGTGCTTTTCAAATTTTTAGATATCATGGGTTTATATATTTATATGTTAACATGATGCTATACAAAATACCTTAGTTTCTTTAACAATTTTTAAAACTCTGTTGTAAAAGAAAAATAATGTAAGATATGATTTTAAGTAATATTTAAAAAGTATTTTGTATTTCAATAAAGTAGTCCTGATTGAGTACCTTACCAGATTCAAGTTAAATTTTAATCAAAAAACCATTCTGGAGTTCTGTACTAATTATGCATAAATCAACATGAAACCCAATGTTATTATCACAATTTGAAAACTTTCAATATTCCTGATACATTTAAAAACTCTGTATTCAAAACTATGGTATTATTTGTGATACCAGTTTGTATCATTTTTAAAATTCACTCAGGTTGAATATGTTGCCTTAAGTTTTCAAGGACTATTTGAATTAGTATTGCATCATTTCCTATTAACTATAGAAACATTAAGACCTTGTAGGTGGTTTACCATATTGCTACCATATTTAGACTATAGTTGTCACATGTCAGATAAATTATAAACTCCAAAACTATTTTATACTATTTTCATTAAACAGTTATAGACATTTCAAAAATTCAAAGAATTTTGTATTATTTAATCAAATTTTTACAAATTTCCATGGATTTCAAAACCACTAATTTGTTCTAACATTTCCTTTAAGACACAAAAAATTCCATTAGCCTTTCTTATAGTTACATAATGTATTATCTTAGTTTAAATTTATCAGAAAAAAGTTCTTTACTTAACATTCATCCTAAACTTTATTTTGTCTGGATAAAATACTTTTGGTTGGTCTTCTCTCCAAACACTTTAAAAGTTGTTTCATTGTCCTCTGCCTTCATATTCTTGAGAAGTCCATAGTTATTAAAATTGCTATCTAATGCATAATGTTATCTACTGTTTTCACATTTTTCTGTTGAATTTTTCTTGGATGTTTCTCAGGTAAAGTCTTACACTTTTGTCTGGGCTGGCATCAGGCAATAGATCTTCCTACTTCCATCTCTTGCTTGAATTCTAAGTGTGGTGGCACATGCCTGACTTGGTTGTGAAATTTGGGTCCTGTTGTTTTTTTCTCAGGCTGGCCTTGAACAGAAATCCTTCTATCTCTTTCTCCCAAAACACTTTTGTTTCTAAATAGATTTTTCATAGCTAAACGTTTCTTGCTTGACATTATTTTCTTTCAACACTTCAGGACACCAGCTCACTGACAATGGTCTCCATCTTTTTCTGATTTGAAAGCAGTTTATTTGATGTTTC